TCATCTGCGTCTCCATTTTTCTACTCTCGACCACGGCGCGCACGCTCTCTTCAGCATGATCCGAGCGTTGTTGTCGATAGTGTGACCGCTCGATTCGGCAGGTAACACTGATATCTTTCACGGCTCCCCGCTGTCCGTGTGGATGCTAGAGCCGAGGATGGAGCTTCCCGGATTGCTGGCGTCAGGACATCCGCCAGCGGAGTTCTCCTTCGTGTGGATGGGACCATGAAATGACCTTTTTACTTTTGCCCAGATAACCTTTACATTAAACCGCCAATGTTCACTGAATGCCAAACAGGCATCCGTTTTCTTTTAGGTTTATTAACTTCTACACAAAAAATAATGACATATCGACTTTTTCTTTCTCTCCAACTAACCGCAAAACAAGTTGCGGCGTAATTTTGACGGTCGTGACGTACCCTGGCACAGGAACCGGAAGTTCTCCCGGCTATGGGAGAATGGGAGCTTTAGCGGCGGCGAGTTGGGAGTGCGCCGGTAGGTTTTACTGAGCTCATGGCGCTGATTTTACCGACGTATTTCCTGAATCGGCGCCTCTCATCGCCGCGATAGCCATGGACACATCGCAGCTGAGCTAGATTCAATGAGATATGTTGCGCTACAGCGACAGCATGGGACTAGTCCCATACGCCGGTATGCCTGTTGGGAAGTGCGGCGAGTTTTCCGATGAAGACTCCAGAAGGCAACCCAACTGTCATTGTTGGTAAAAGGCGGCCCGTGTCAGTCGTTCGCAAAGCGACGTAGATGGAAACAAATTGCCGCGGCGTTTTTCGCGGCTTCGGAGATGCAGGAGCGAGCCGACGTTAAAAAAAAGATAGGTTTGAACTACGAGAGTGTCAGCAAGAGCCACGTAAATATCTGTTCACACTCGGAGCGCACGCGCGCGTTTGATGAAAGTGCTATATTCGCGCTGTTGGTAAGCGCTTCGGGACCGATCTTTTACGATTGCAGCTCGATACTGACGTGACACTCGGCAAAGGAAGGTTGGACCGGCATTGCACGAACTGTTATAGCTCGACAGTAACGTGCAGTCGTGTCAGAATAAAAATGGCATACTAATCACAAAGTGTACATACTGTGTTACGAATGTAATCCATACGGCGTTTATTTGAGCTCTATATCACACAAAACAAGACGATAGAATCGACGAGAGTCTCTTTTCAACGACAGTGTTCGTCAACACTGCCTCGGAAAACAAGGGAAAGAGATTGACCTCACCTCTTAATCTAAAATTGAGATCAGCGATCAAACTATAATATGGGAAGGGTCCACAAGGGTCGCGCGGGAATATTCCATTCAGCACGCCAGCCGGTCGTGGGCAGACGGTCTTGGCCAAGTACCGTTGAAGCAACGGTGCGCCGAGTCGGAGTGCCTGCTAGGCCTATCTGCCGAGCTCGCTTGCTAGGCGTCAGTGGATTCGTCGCCGTTGTAGCTCTTCTCGGGCGTTTGCGGATCCAGCGTTCTTGTTCGTCGTGGTCTGTTTCAAGTACTTTTTTCTTGCTGCTTGAAGTCGGGACGCGAGAGAAGAGCACGTAGAAAAATAAACGTTCGTTGGTCATCGCGACAAAGCAACTGAGCGACGCTGTCGGCCCTACTGTAGTTGCTTCGTTTACCACACGATAGATGGCGCTTGGCTCTCAGCATTATCAAATTTGGCAATTTTCGTCACATCTCTAATTATGCAACAAAATGTGGATCTGAGTATTATTTAACAAAACTTTTAGGAAACATTCGCCGGCTATTTATGGTTTGCGATCGCGGTGCTGGTGAGGTAGGCTCTTACCCAATAGGCGACGTGGAATTGGCTGACGTGCTGCGACTCAGCGGATGCATCGCAGTGAAAAGGCAGAGAGCTTTCGAAATAAAGAATGCGCAAAAGAGTCCAGTTTTCTTTTAAAAGTTCTATAGCAAAGAATTTTTTTGGCTCCCTATTTTTCTGTTTTTGTGTCTTTTTCACAGCTTTTACGACGATCGGTGGATGAAATTCGATTTCAGAATCGTTTTACGGTCCCCTTTAAGGAGTACTAGAGATTTTTCGACACTTCAATATTAAAACGTAACGAAGGGAAACAGATCTGTGGATTTGTGAGAAAAGAAAACTTTGCGGCAATCTTTGGGCTCCTCCTCCCACTCTGTCATAACGCTAAAAACATTTGTGTTTGTCGAGTTTAACAACCCTGTCCGCTCCCATGCTTAAGTTTCAGAAAAATATGTCATAACTTGCTGGTCAAGAAAACAATCTAACAATAGCCCCTACCTAGCAAGTCTTCCTGCTGATTAGATATGTCTCTGCAGAAGTGCGTTATCATTTCCCAAAAATTGAAGGTGACGATCACCTTCACTGAAAAAGCGCTTCAAAAAGTACATGGACACGAAAAAAAAGGGACAGGACCAAACGATACTTACGAGTGAACGTTTTTTTGAAAACGCACTCACTATTCATGCACGCAATCAGGCTCCCGATACATGAAAAGCAACTCTTCCTCGGTTAAGTAGACCGATGGGTGCACTTACATAGGTATCCTCGCACTTTATTCTTGTGCAGTAGACCTAGAAAACTCTCGAATTTTTTTTCCTGCAATTTTTGCACTTTTAAGATTATGCGCACAGAGGAACCTATCGCAATGAATGGCAAGACTGCAACGATTGGGAGCTTCTGACATATAGGTCATGCTCGCGCACCCTCGTACCCTCTCCTTTAGACACCTCCCGGTTCGCCAAACGTACGCTCTACCGCAAGTCATGGATAGTTCGTAAACAACTGACGTTTTACATTCTAGTATTCACGTATTTTAGGCGTTTTTTTTTTTCAGTTAAACATGTACCAACTAGACCACTTAGCCATTTGACTATCACTTCTTCCGCGTTCCGCTGTTTTCATCATCTTGGTCACCATAAAAAGATCAATCTAACGACCTTTGGTAGTGCTTTACGGATGTCTTCAGTTTGGACTATAATGCAACGGTTCAAAAGCAATGGTAAACACCGAAGAGGCCCCCAGATACAGGTTTTTTGCCTGGGATGAAACGCGCACTAGATAATTTATACTACATAAACGCCGAATGCCTTTCGATGTTAAAGAACTCTAGGCACCTAGGCCTGAAAAGCTCAGAACAAAATACAGCACTCCTGGAATTAGCCAAAAACGAATAAAAACGATTCGGTTAAACGGCATCAATATGCCACACTTACATAACTTTCCAAAATTAAATGTGCAGCATGGTACTCACAAGCGGTCAATTTCTTTAGGCGGCTTAATATTTCTTGCGTGTATAAATAATTTAGATATGGTATCTTGTCCCCAGGGAATCATCACGGCTCACAATTCAAACGTATTATTATACTCTGATGTCAGTTAAGGAAAGCAGGACAAGTTCATCCTGCAAGCTCATCTACACTTTCTACTTTAGGAGAACGAACGTGACAGAAAAGGTGAGTGCACTCGCCTCCTCTCTAGCGTCCTCTGCTGAAGTGGAAAAAGTGTAGAGCTTTACTGGGTGAGCTCGTCCTACTTTTCTTAACCTCAAGCAGTAGATAAGGACGCAACAAGACGAAGTATTGAAGGTGCAGAAAACTGCTCTCTCTCTCAAAAGTGTCAGAGTAGGATTAAAAAATTTAAAAAAAAAGTTTTTTTTTTTTTTTTTTGCGTTTAGTGAACAAGATTGTATTGCATAAAGCCTGGAAACTCAAGGCTGGAAATGAAGTGCAAGAAAACGTTTTCGGGAGTATGGCTTACTGAAAGAGAACTGTCTTGTAGTATACCCTCCTTTCCGGCTGTATCAACGTTCATTCAATTAGTTACATAATTTTTGCGAGGGGCGTTCAGATTTTAACTATAATATGATAGGTACAAAATAATGAAGTTAGTCGATTTCTCTGTTGACGACAGAGCAATGGCTTCTTGATTGTTTTTCTTTTTCGTTTTTCTTTTTTTGTGCAGGTGCATTTATCTTTGACAGATTGATTAACATCGCAGGTGATGTGCTTCCATCCTAAATTGTAAAAACGCTTTTAAAGTTTTAATCGGTTGAATATTCGATGGGGCGAGGTCTATGGTGTGCAGAAGAGAACGGCGGGAGGGAATAGTTTAATTTGATTTCTTTAGTGTCTCAATTGTACAATATGCAGCATTTGGAGGCTGAGTATTGTCATTTACGAAGCGCACACAATTCTTGGGTGACGCAAATACGGCTCGTTCTCAGCGCGCTGTCTACTTTCTCGCAGGACTATCTTTAAGGGAAAAAGCACGTATGCTGGCTTCAATAGTGAAAAGGGGGGGGGGGGGGCTATTCGAATATGAGCCGTAGCATCAATAAAGGATCGTGAATTTGAGACCACACGGTCACGGGACATCACGGAATCACGTAACAAGGTGACGTCACGTGACCTGGTCATGTAATAATGTGATTACGTCATGATGACCACTTGGCCGCGTGACGTGACCATGGGAATCACCTGGGCACATTCTCTGTCCACGCGAGTTCGACTTGAGCCCACGCATTTTGTTTCAGAGGGGACCGTTGCTAGCGGAGCTCTTTAACAAATGTTTTGATTCTAGCTGCCATATTCCTGCTTTTTCCCTTGTGCAAAATTTACGGGGTTTTAGTGCTGCTTTGGCAACATAATATTTTTTTCCTAATATACTAAAACACCTATGGATTTTAAAAATAAAAAACAAGCTACCAATGTTTCACCTACCTCTCATTCACTGTGGCTTCTTGGCATCTCCATTGATCACGTAAATCTTTAATGCTAGAATAACCTAAGAAACCTTCTTTCAGCATGATCATAATGGTTGCCCCCCAATACAAGTAAAAAAGAGACCACAAACAATAAGCGATACAGAAACAAAATGAGAAGCGAAAACTTACGAAATTCAGCTGCTTGTTTGAATTGAAAGTTTACCGTCATGTTGAATATACAACATCTCGCTTGCACTTTAAAAAAAAAATTTCTTGTTAACATTCGTTCTTTCTTTCCAGTGTGGGACAGCACAGGAAAAGTGGAAAGTGGCATCCTAACAGGGAGTCTGACTTTCCTGGGATTCCATACCGAGTGCTTGAGAGCGCTCCCCGACAGCCGCTCACCTGCACGTAATGTGTCCCGTCCTGAACAATTTTCCAGCCGCTACTGTCTGTCGACGGTCAGCCTGGAAAAAGCACAAAAGACGCCACCCAAGGTCAGTAGTGACTGCATATTTCTTGGGTCGGTTTTGGCCGTCCAATCGAGACTAGAGCCACTAAATAAGCAACGCTTCAGAGTAACGACACTGCAGCCATCTTGGTGCTTAAAATCATAATTACCAATTATTTAAAACTGTCTGAAATCGCAGAAAACAAGTTTCTGTTTCCTAGAAATGCAACAGTTTGCGACAGAGCAAAACGATATCACCTGAGCGTTCTAACACCGAATCAAAAGCTGAGGAAATCGCATTTCTGAATTGCGACGATCGACAGTTGCGGCTGCTCGGCACCAAGCACCAAAATGGCGGCGCCCACTAGCAGGTCGGGGAACAGAAGGGGAGGTACAAAAAATAATGCAAACAGGGAGTGAAGACGTTCTCTTCCCAAGTACCAGCCAACGCCAAATGGAAGTGCTCCTTGTTCCTGTCTTTCCCCATTTCAGGACTGGGCAGCGATACTCAAAAAAGTATTTCCTAAAAAAATGCACTGAGATAGATGTATTTTAAGGACGAAATACACAGAGACATTTGCTTTTGACGTAACGGGATATCCTTGCTATGTTTCTGTAGAAACGGAGAAGACGTATCACAAAATACAGATACATACATACAAGAAACTCCAATCGCAGTGCTCGCCTTTTAGTGACTGTTCGCAATATATCGTGGTTTCGTTTAATGATTTCCTCCTGGTTAAGTACCGGGTTCATGTTACAAAGCTTGAGACCCATCGATCTAAAAAGTGGTTGTAGCTTATCGTAAAAACGTAGTTTATTTTCAACAATGTGTTTAACCAGATACCTATCAGCTTGGCAGACTATCGCAGTGCAGGCGACAAACTGTAAATGCATTTCACTAATGAGATACAAATACAATTTTAATGTATCCCCATGCACAAAGAGAGTTACCCGAAAGTATATATTATCGCGATACATTTGCTACGCGATACTACCCAGCCCGCCCATTTGAGGCCGAAATTGCCCTGTGGTCCCCGAGTCTGACTAAGGAAGCGGCAGAAGGGAAGGGTAAGGGAACGGATGGGGAGGGGGGTAAATTTCTGGTGTCATAAAACTGCCTCACGGGCACCCGGTTACCGACCCCCTGCTCTAGTATATTGCATGCCCTTCGGTAGCCTCAACATTAGAAATCCACGAATGCGGCTTCTTGTCTCAATTTATTCTGGAGAGCTTTTGGTGGTCGAATTTCAGAGCCAGATCCGACTGCAATACGCTTTTTTTTTTTAATTCAGTGAGCAACATTGGCGGTCGCCATTGCTTGGGCACGAAGCGTGTAATTAGATTTGAGTCCTGGCCGAGCGCTCACGCAGTACTCGTTTTTGATACGAGCCGAGCCGAGTTTACGCCGAATGATGACGCAACCCTCGTGCCTAATACACCCTTAGACACGTACCCGAACCATAGCAGACTCGGATAATTGCCACAGTGGCTATTAAGTATAGTCACTGACAAGTTAAGAGTGAATTAAAAGCTTCTCCCACCCCTTTCCACTTTAGTGCAGCCAATGCTGGAGAGAATGCGACCTCCTTTTCGGCGTTTGCTCTGCTAAAGTGAAAAGGGCAGGGTGTGGGAGAAGTTTCCCCTGGTGCCCTTAAACTGTCACCGACCATACATTGTGCGCATGAATCAAAAGGGTCTATTCGACCCAATTTTTTTTAAACTGCGCCTTTAACGTGGAGATGTAATGCTAATTCAAAAAGTAATGTATCGAGCACTCTCATGGACAAACTTTATTCCGCAAGCAGATATGCAAATCAACATTAGTATAGCACTGGTACACATTACTTGTTAACATAGTCAACGCCATTGTCCAAACATTTGTTCAAACGGTACGCCAAGGCATAGATGCAGGCGAGGAAGAAGTCTGCGTCAAGACCCCGAAACCACGGCAACACAGCTTGCTGAACTTCAGTATCGCTTGTGAGACGCCTACCACCCAGCGGAGGTGGCAATAATAAAATTAAACATGGAATTACAATAAATGAATTAATTTTGGCAGTAATGAATACTGTAATGTATTACCTTTTTCGCGTAGGTAATTCAGTAATATAATTAATTGTTTTTGGGCAGTCATTTTATTTAAATTCCTTAATTACTTTCTGACTTTAGGCATATTTTATGCAACTACAAAAATGAAGGGTAATTGTTTTTAATGATACTGCTCCCAGGGACTTGTAGGAGGGGAAAACAAAACAAAAAACAAGAATCGGATACTGGAAAGGCACACCTTGAAGAATAAGTATAAGTGGTTATTATATGCCCGGAATAGTCAGCGCGAACACTCACACAGACAATAATATTCTCCGGAGGGGAAAAAAAAAAAGAAATAGCAAATTGATACAAGAATTTTGGTTCCCGAAACCATTCTGAAGCTTCTTTCTTGATGGGGCTCCTGCCATAAGTTTTATCATCGCCCCTTCTTTATGAGCACAAGTTACAGTGTTGAAGAGAGTTCAGGGTTCAAAAGTTAACACAGTATAGCAGGGGTGGCCAGGCTGGCCTGGCCTAGGAGCCGAAAACAAAACCAGGGAACTTGCAAGAGCCGCGGGGGGGGGGGGGGGGGGGGGGGGGAGGGCGCAAATTTAATTTTTGTTCAGAGTCTGACTGTACGTATGGGGGCACAAGGAAGGCTGTACGACTGTACGTATGGGAGTATAAGGCTGTCAAACTCCAAGCTGCAGTGTGCTTTATTCTGAAATCCTTTCTTTTTTTCTTTTTTTGCCTGGGAAAACGCGGAAAACGGGCGAAAAGGAGGGGGGGGGGGGGGGGGGTGTCCCCTTACGAGGGATCCGCGAGCCGCACATGGACCAGCAAAAAGCCACATTCGGCTCGCGAGCCGCGGTTTGGTCACCCCTGCAGTAAAGCAAGAGGACATTGCTGGCTGCGTAAAGGTGCCATCAAATCAAAGAGCCTTCACAAGAACTATAGGTGCGCTGGAGCGGATTGTATTCCCAGATACTACGAACAAACACCGCATTCGCTTCACTGGTCAGAATGTACCATTCAAGAGATGATTAGGTATAAGCGCAGGATGAGAGTTCACAGAAGTTTCCCACATAAAATGCAATTGAAAAGTAATGTCATTGCTTTTCTTCAGTAATTTGTAATTGGATTTAATTAAGTTTACTTTGTGGTGCTTTGTAGTGTATTTAAATGACATTTAAATAGTATGCGTGAAGGAAATAAGTAATGTAATTTGGCCAGCTTTAAGACCTTGGTGCTTCCTCAATGCTCCGAAAATATGAACATTACTAGGTGTTACTTTGTGGTTCTAGGGATAATGCTTCTATACCTCCCACTGGACGCGCCATTACAACGCACGCGTGCTGTTGGCTCGGTGTACTCAGGCGTTTTTTTTATTTTATGTTTTTGCTATTTTTGTCATGCTTCCGTGGCATGCCATTTGTACCGTTGACCTGAAGAAGTTGACGATGAATTTCTGCTGGTGAAGTGCCCTTTAGTCGCTAAGACCTCATAACACGACGCACTTCCACTTTTTACTTTGTTTCAGTGAGCGCAGCCATCTTGCAGCTGATATTTGGAGGGGGGGGGGGGGGGGAGGTGATGCAATATATGTACCAGTTACGGGCTTTGTGACATAACGGTGGTCTGTTGCTGCGGCCCTGGTGAGATATTAGAACGAGAGGGAAAATATGACACCAGTGAGAACTCTTGTTATTTTTTTTTTTTCAAGTAGCCTTCCTACATCTAAACATATTTATTAACTAAACATTTGTACTCTCCGTATGGAACTTTCGTTCTATGTATGTTCTGTCGACATCCGCTGACATGGCGTACCTCATTCCTATCAACCGTTACATTAGGAGCCTATGCAGCCGATGCTGGGAGCTTTTAATCATATGAGAGGCTTTTTAACAAAACAAAAAAAGTGAACCAATGTCTCTTTTACAGGGGATCCCGGAGTACATATGGCAGCAGGTGCTCGCCAGCGGCCAGAACCTCAGGTTCGGATTGTGCGTACCGTCAACCTGCTCCTCCGAAGACATTACCAGTCTGGTCGGTCAAGGTGAGGGGGCAATACCATCGACGGTCACGTGTTCTCTCACCAGCATTGTTTTGTTCCTTATGGCACCGCTCCTTCTTTGTGTTCTTTATTGATCGGAATTGTTACAGTACAAACGTAGTTCTGGCACTCATATGTGTCAGATTTTAAAGCCCACTCGGAACCTTGTCTCTCCGCAGGTAGACGCAATCACGGACGTCGGTCGTCGCGAAGATGATAAAAACGAAGTTACTATTTATCGGTAATTAAAATAATTTACTAGGAAAATACATTCTACTCCCCTCATTTGCATTAGAGAGCGCGCGTACAGCACCAAACCATACCCTATCGGTGGGGTCAGCCCGCTTCGACGCCGTCCACGCTGTCGCGCTTTCGCGCTGCGACTAGGGAGGGTTCCCGTCGACGCACCTGTATACCGAATTTGAAAGGACAACAGAGACGGCTGTCTTCGTTGTGTCGAAAGTTGTGCACGACGGTAGGGGGTGGCAGCCGCCCCTTTTAGTTAAAAAGGGAAAGCAGCGAAGTTGCGTGCGGCCAACAGTTCCTTCAGTACAAAAGCTGTCGGCGCCAAAGCTATTGAATTTTTACGGAGTAAGATCTAGTCCCCTAGTAAAGTATTTATCCTTAATAATCAAGATTTTCTCGTCATATTTTGTACTTTCCGTCTTTGTTTCTCCTCGCCCAATGGTGGCAAAAGTTAGTTCGGGGTGAGCGCGGAGCGGATCGAATCAAACCATCCACAGCGTCCGCCAGCTCAAGGAATAACTACCAAACAACGGCACTATTTACACGGTTGAATTTAGGAACGACTATACGCTGCTCGATTACTGGCTTTATTCGCACACTCATGGTGATAACCCTATTCATTCCTTGTAGAAAACTCCTCCACTAGGACTAGCCACTGAAGGGATATTTACTGTCACCTAACCAATGGAAAAAGGTCGAGGAAAAAGTGTGGCGAAAGATTTTCACCCCACCGGCTCTTTTACTAAAGGCCTTAGTGCTTGAATTTCTACGTCACGAACCGGAGGCCAGCACGGGACCAGCACGGGTCACACATTAGAAACAACCGCTGCACCAGTGTTCAGCTGAGCCTCTTGTTTGTTTCCCATTGAACTTCAGTCCCAGCAGAACGCTGCCGCAGCACTAGTGTGTGGTCAGTGACCCGCGCTGGCCCACCTTAGGTGACGTAAAACTCCTGCACTGCGGCCTTGCTATCTACGAGGTGTTGCTTAGCCTGGCTTTAAAATATTTTCAAGGTCGTCCTTTAAATGGCCCTGTCTTGGGCGGTACCAATCTCCGTCCATCAATCAAGCTCTCGCGGCCTAGATGACTCCGGGTCTACTGACAAGGAATTAGGCTATAGCGCTGTTTTGGTTCTAAACATTTCAAGATGGAAGATCAAACTTGGTGCAAGGTAATCATTACACACCTCTCGATTCTTCCCCAGCTGTGCAGATGTTGGTGGAGGGTGCCAGTGCGGTCGACTCCACATGCTCAGTTCCTAGTGGTGCCTATAGCTCGGATGAGGCCGCCATGGCTGTCACGTGAGCAAGCACTTCTTACTCCTCCTGCACTTTCATATCGCCGTAGGACTACCGGCACCGGACTGCAATGCGAATAAACTCCTCGAAGATTTAGCAAAAGAGAGCCGTTTTGATGTTCATTCACAGTAAGAAATTCCTCGTAATTTAAGCCATATATTGTTTGACGTCGACACGGACGAAATTCCGTTTCAGAGTTGTCTTATAAGCTGAGGAATCCTGCCATAATAGTTTCGTTTTCTCGCCGAATAGATGTCGTCACGAAAGTATATCGGTGCGTCACACCTCGTATACATCTTCAGCCTTAACGTAGACAAGCAGGCAGGCCTTGCCATCACGAAAAAAAAAGCAGATAAAAATGCATGATGCGCCAATTACCTTATGGACAGTATCAGCGCTCGTCCTGTGCTCTACTCTCGTTGTCCTCGTCTTTTTTGTGCGCTGTTCCGAATTTCTTAAGTCATTAATCAACTCGCCTGCATCGCCACCCTAATTCATTATCAGTTACCTTAGAGCACTGTGCGAACAGGAAGGCATATGACGGCAGTTTCTTTTTTTTTTTTGTAACAGGACCAGTAGCCGTATTTACTGGTCCTAGTTTATTTTCAAATATGATGATGTATTTATTGAGCAAGTTAGCTATATATAATGTTGCAAATATTAGTACTTTAAGAAGCAGAGGACAGCACTTTTGAGTTTTCGAGCATAGCATGGGGCACTAGGTTGTGGTAGCACTGACCAAACCAACCAGGAGCGTTTATTAAAAAAAAACAAAAAAAAAAACACAGATTTTGAAACAGTCTATTTCCTTTTGAAAAAGTTATCAGCGTATTAATCAATAAGAAATAACTCAATGTCTGCGATTTTTTGCTTTTAGTAATATTAAACTTTTTTTCTATTTAATAGGGTTTTTTTGCTTGTTTTGTTGCTGACGCATCGGCGTCAGCAACATGGCAAAGGCCTAGGAGCGTTTTTTTTTTTTTTTTTGGAAAGGTGTGTTGTAGAAGCAGGTTTTACCTTCCAATTCATTCTTTCTTTTAATCTTCTCATTCTTTTTTTTTTAATTTTCAAGATATTATTTTTTTCTTTTCATGTATCTTTTTCCTCTCTAACTCTTTTCGTGTGTCTTTTTCTTTCCGTTTTTTACTGTTAAGTGTGAATACAAACAAGATCGCTGAGGCTTTATTGTGCTTATGCTAGTTGAAAGAAAGTGTACGTTGTCCCTCGTTCCACTTGTGTCTTATTCGTTCGGTGTTCCTTGACCATAGCAGTCATGATCAGAAGGTGATTTCACCTCCTGTGAAGCATTGCTTCAAGCCGAGCGAATAGGTTCTATTGAACCGAGGACCTTTGAGCGGCTTCCGCGACGTACTTTGTTTTTGCTCCTGAATATTTGGATGCATCGCCGGCATAGAATGCTGTGATTAATAACCTGCACCGTCCTTAACCTCACAGTGGAGTTATTCTTCTCTTCGTGATGCTGGCGGCTGTGGGCACGACGTACGACCTGCTGAGTGCTTCCAAGGGGACTTGGAAAAGGCCAACGTCCTCCCAGAGTGTCAACATTACCATGGCCTCCAACGAGGGGCTTGTAGACGACGGAGAACACAAACGTGAGTGCAATGGACGCGCCCCGTAGTATGTTTAGCGAGCATAAAATAAACTACAAACTAGAATGTACCTGCGCTGCTTGAACATAAATAATTAAAAATGCAAAACAAGGAGATACCACATGATCCCATTTAGCAATGATGGGAGTGCGCTATAGGCTTCGTTTACATGGATGTGACTGCAGCGCATCGGATCCAGTTAGCGAGTCGAATCGGTCCATGTAAACAGCTGGGATCGGATTGGATCCGATCCAATCCGATCCACTAAACGGGGTGGTTTGAGATGGTTAATCCGAATCGAGACTCTCCACGTATACGCTAGCGGATCGAATCGAGTGCTCGAGCGAGGGGTCAAGCGTGAGCGTTGCGTTGCATGCCGCTTGGCAAACCGGAAACCTCGGAAACGATCGGAAGGTCACGAGGTTTGCGTTGTGATCCTTTGACACGAGGTGCCGCCACTGGTCGGTCCGAACCCATGTAAACACAGTGGTTGAAGTGGATCCGATTCGCTAACTGGATCCGATGCGCTGCTGTCGCATCCATGTAAACGTAGCCATGGAGACTTTCGTAAACATCTCACTCGTTTTCTCTGTTTTTATGTTTTAACATATACGATACCAGGCTAAATTGTGTCTTTTATAAATTATAATCAATACATCCCTCTAATAATGTACATGGCAAGTAAGATGGCGGTGTTTTAAAACGAAGACACGTAAATTGTGAAATTTGGGTGCTATGTGCAGTTGCGTTCGCTGTTCGCGGGGAAACCCCAAGTGGTGAATGAGCATACACCAATTCAATTTTCCCGCTAAATTTGGCAGTGAATTCGCGATACACTTTCGGTAACCCCTAACAGTTCCTTGCCGACTTCCGTTATCCAGTTCTGTTAGAGTTCTTTGTATTTATATTATGATCCTTGAGCCCTATATCATACTGAGTAGCATGCGAATGGGATTTTTCACATTTTCTAAAAAAATATTCACAAGCTAGTACGCCAAAGCTCATTGTTTCTTTCAAGATTTATTTTCACCTAATGACTGCGGCTTTCTGGGAAGACACAATTGACTTTGGGTGTCTTGTTCTGCTTCTAATGCAGGAAGCCAGCTCGGCCACGTTCTGGTCTCGTTCTCGCTGAGGGCGAATGGAAGCAAGCTCTTGAGCACGGGCGGGACGCAGAAGGAATCCATCCAGATTTTTCACGGCCTAAAATTCTTCAGCATGGGCTGGATCATTTTGGGACACTCTTACTCATTTGCGTCCACCTGGCTCACATATAGTAAGCTCAATGTAACAGTAAAGTCTTCTATATTTGAGATGTGAGACGCTTAGCCTGCGCCTCCGTTAGAACAGATGATTCTGCATATCTGCGAAAACAAAGTTACATATAAAATTGCTGAACGGGTTAAATGTTATTCTATGTACTTTTGGGGGCCAGTACCCTTGACGAACATTCAAGAAAGAATAGTCTCCCACACATCGAAAATGGTTATTAAGTGGGAAGAGTATATTGATGAAAATAGTTTAAGGTGTCTCCGCTCTAATGAATGGCGCCCAAAACTGTAATTGCAAACATTTTTTTTCTTCTTTTTTTTTCAGGCGATTATATGTGAGGAAATATCTGAATGTCATGTGTCGCTTTTCTTCACTTCTCAGGAAACGCGAACGATCTCAAGATTGTGCCAACAGACATTCTTAGCCAAGGTTTGGCCAACGGCACCTTCACAGTGGATACTTTCTTTTTTATCAGGTTGGTTGTCATAGAGTCGTAGCCCCTTTAACTTAAAAGAAAAGAAGCTTCGAAATAGATCATATTTTATAGTAAATATATTCCAAAACGAAATACTGTATGGAATGTTTAATAAACTGACAGACTGCTTCAGCTTCAACGTGTAAAAACACACCTGCCTTCTATTACTGTAGACATAGACTTATTTCACAACCTAGAGTGTGAAGCATTCTCATGCATCGTTAATATTCTCGGTCGCGTGCATTCATTCATCTTCGTTGTCACTGCCAGCTTAAGAAACAAAACAAAAAACACACGAAAAAACGTAACTCATTTTGTTCGCATTTTTTTAGCCATTTTTTTTTAGTGTTTTTGCCGCGTATTGCTGCGTTCTCATTGGCTGAGAAACAGTAATGAGAGGCTCAAGACATGGGAGGCCCTGCGTTCCTTAAGTTGTCAGTATATGTATGTGCATGCTAACTTGGAAGAAACAGAAGTAAATTATTCTGAGACTTGGAAACCGCATAGCGGCTCAAGGAGAATATAATAATTATAGGTAGTCGGTATTCACCTAAACACCTACTTTCTGGAGACGTTGAAGGCATTCAGAACGAACTGCTCTTAGGAATCGGCGAAACGGCGCAGCAGTTTGGCACGCGCAGAGCAGAGATCGCGAGCCGGTTCGCCGATTGTCCGAAGGAGTTTGTTTTGAAGGCCTTAAACGTGACTATGAAACAAATGTATTAGCGCCCGAGTGTCCGCCGTGGCATTGATTGTTACGAGCTGAAGTCGAGTGCTCGGGCAATTCTCGTGTCCAATCCATGAGCCGCTTTCGACTGTCGTAAGGCAGGTGGTTTCGACCGCACATTATGTCATCAAGCTTTGCGAAGGCAAGATTGAAGGAAATAGTCCCTTTTTATCCTCTCAATTTAACCGCGACCAAGAAGCGTCTGAATCAGTGGAGGTCCGTGCCAATATATTGGGCCACACTAGGACCAAGTGATGAACATTCCAACCCAATATCGTTTCATAAAACCTTTAAAATTCTTGAAACAATACCAAACAACTTAATAAAATAATCAATTGCTATTTTTCTTTCTTCTTTTTTTTTGGGGGGGGGGGAGGGGAGGGAGGGAAGGAGGGGGAGGGGATTAACATGATGAAAGCTAACTCAAATCCTCTACCTCCGTTCTGCAGTGGCGTTCTCGTCGTGTACGTGACGTTGAAGGCCATGGTGTCTGGAGGAGGAAAAGTAAACTGGTTTACCTTCTACACGCATCGGTACTGGAGGTAAGTGCTTTTGGTACATTCTCAACTTCTTACGATGCTTACAAGAGCGTCGATATATTGTGCACGGCAAGAATTGTTTTGTTCTGCGGGGTGGACACAAAGATTAGTAAAAGAATAATACGTTTTCTGCCGAATTTTTCTCCTAAATACGCCTTAGCGAGTTTAAATAAGGGAAGTATGTACGTTTCTTTTATTGATTTGATTTAAGGTGACGGCTGGTGGGAATAGGCCTTTTTTGTGTGTGTGTTCCTACCCATCAAATATCCGTGTATAAGAGTGAAAAGGAAATATTAAGTTGTGTCACATACATGAATAACCGCGCTATTATTATCCATAATAATTGCTATTATTATGTTTGATTTTGTACTTTCATAAGACAAGTTGAATACAAAAATGAGGTTTACTCACTGACAAAAATTATACAAATTAAAGCGAAATAATACTATAAGGTATAGCAGAGTGGACAATGTTATTTGGTGCTAGACAAAGGTAGAAGATATATACAAGCTGATTTGAGGTGGCACTAGCTAAATAGATTAACACCCACTAGGAAAGTGCTACACTGAGGGTGGAACTTAGATTCCAAAGTAAGATTTTAAGTGTTATAATATAAAATTATATGTGCAATATATTTTTTATGATATCCAAATAAGCGCGCGCGATTAACTCCTCCTTTTTACCTACGTTATATGCGAAAAGACCAATAGCACACATTCCAAAAAAGTATCCACCGTCCATAAATACCCCTGTCATGGTGCAGACCATGTTGAAAAAAGATGGATGTGTCTGAACGGCACCACCTCTCCATGGAGCAAGAATCTCCAAGGTTGGCTCTCCATTTTTTTACAAATACCGTGTGATGGCGCAGCAATACGCTGTCTCGAGCAACCGTCCTTATCCGCGCACACATTTTCAATGCCACATGGCACGCGACCACTCCTGCGTGCCGATCCCCAACCCCACAGTGCACCGCCGGAAGACGCGCGAAGTCCGAGTGGAGTTTCGACCCCATTTGTTCCGACATACCTCTCCCTTCTTCCACCTTTGTGCAGACAAAGTAAAAAAGCTACCGCAATTTAATGTGTTGTCGAAAAATGCATTAGCGAATGTTTCAAGCGTAATCTTCCAAACGTCCCCTCCTCCCCTTTTATATTAGACGCTATAGACGGTGACATTTCACTATCCAACACTAGTTGTCTAACCCGAATGCCCTGATGGCCTGTTTTGTTTACAACGTCACGTTGCTTTACCATGTCACTCGTTACTCAGAAAAGTAATAAGTACGTTACTCGTTTCTGTGATTCAAAGGAGATGCGTTAAGTCAGCTTAAAATTAACGCGTTATTTTTTCCTTACTTTAAATATGTCACTTTTATGAGTCAGTAGCCGCTTCCAATATTTGTCGCCTGCAATAATTCCTTGCTTCTAACCCGTTTATTCGGGGACAACCGTGACGATACTGACAAACCTCGCAGATACCTTTTTGTGCTCCATTTCTTACTTCCGCCAGCTGGGGTGAGCACCACGTTGGGAATACATGTGTAGTGCACGTTTCCCTCCAGAAGTAACCGAATGTCGTTGCTCGCTACTTAAAAAAATATATTGCGAATACGTGAAATCGCTTGATCTGTCAAAAAGTAAATAGGTATTTACTTCGTGACAAAAAAAAAAAAGGCATCTAAGTGCAAGTATCGCGTCACGCACATGTCTGCTTCGGGAGAAATATTCCAAACGTCATTTCAAAACGTGTTCACAGGAGCGTGAGGTAGATATGACCTCCCTTTCTTCTCATCGTAGGCATTTGCGGTCGCGGGACAGTGAGACGCTACATGTGCCCTAATCCTCTCCTTATCGCGCTCACGTTCGGGTCGCGGGACGAGGCACTCGCTGGATGTGCCACTTCTTTTGCAACGCCTCACGGTAGGAAGGAGCGAAGGAGAGAGGAGATACCTTAAAGTGATTATGGCACAAAAAGTAAACTGGTAGATTATGCTTCAAATGGAATATACTATCGCGGCCAATGTGAACTGAAACGGAGCTCCCCGTTGCGCGCGGTACTCTAATAGCCGCCTGTCACGTCCCTCGGGAAACTGTCATGTACGCTGACGCCAAGATAACTCTCCTCCGGCGCTCGTTGCGCCACATTGCACTTCCGTGTCGTCTGCTAGTCTGGATGTTTAGGTGATATCCTTTTTGTTTTATCAAACCCTAAAACCTATGCATGACACAGTATAACTCTATTGCTAACGTACTCCAAAAAAGTTTTGAGAGCTGCGACTTATGATCACTCAGTATTCCGTCCACAGTTGAGTAGCTCAAACACGGGTGTCTCTCTGCATTCCCCAAGAAGATATTCGAAAATTTTGAGAGGGACTATGAAAGTGCGTAAGGCATCTAAGCATTAAAAATATTGACAGAAGGAAATAGTATAGAAAGGTCGTTAGCGACTATGGATCGCCTAATTCACGCATTCAGGGATGACGATTTATCTGTGGATGCATGACATGAAAAGCGTCCTCGAGCTACTCGTGCATTAGCGTACATTAGCTATTTTAATAAGTTGTATCGCTCGGATATCAAGCCGCTCGTGAAAATTGGTATCGTCGTTACAACGTCGATGAACTGAACGTCAAATTGTTGTTTTGTTGTGTTACATATTGGACAAGGGGCATATCCAATACACCGCAATTTCTGAGAGTCTACTGTCGCTCTGGCTCCTTTGCCCTTTGATCCTCCACCCTGCATGCACGTGTGAGATCGTCGCGGATGACGGCGAGTTTGTCTGTGACCATCCTATCGTCGTCGCTGGAGGTAGTCGCCAGAAAATGGAAATCAAAACGACAAGCTTCCAGCATCTCTCGATAACAATCACTGTCATCGCTACTGCGATAAGTGTCGAAAACTCCGAAGAAGCGAGCGATGACATAGACTTGAGCATCTTGAGTCCCCGTGCTACCTAAGCCTGGTAGGAACACGAGGAAGCTGAAGAGCGAGACGCCAAGAGAGCCAAGTCTGCGTGTGTGTGAAATGGGACGCCGTGCGTTGGGTGTATGACGTCACAGACCCACTAAACACGACAGCCTTCCTGTATGTGGTGGATCCGAGTGTCCCGCACAAGAATCGATTTACCCGGGCAACTATCCTGCCATATTAAAAAAAAAAATGTGAACATACATTGGATCTAGCAGTATTGTTATCTCATTTTATTTCTGCCGTGCCATAACCCCTTTAACAGTGGTGGTGACGTGCTGAACTAATCTGTGCGAAAGAGACTCCGGATGAGGGAGAGGGAGCGATGTTTTGCTCTGAATAACAAGACGCGATTATTTATAGAGGACAAGCACTGGTGATCACGTTTTGACCTAGTCTTCCGCGAAGCACCGCAGACACACGGCCCCGCCTTTTTTGTGTGTGTTTCTTTCTGTCGCTGCAAGGAGGACAGCCTACTTGCGGTGCGCACACGAGACACAAGAAACCTCGCGAGTTCCCTGTGACGTCATGGGGATATTTCTGGCGGAAGCCTCTAAACGCTCGTCTCCGGTGGCTATATCTGCCTCTTACGCGCGAGATATTGGGGTTGAGTCGCGTAAGCAAATTTGTTATGTTCTTTACATATTCGTTCGCGAATCGCAAAGGAAAATAGAAAGGATTATATTTTTGGGAGGTGGTTATTTAAGGGTCGAGAAGACCTTGAAGATTCCAGGGGGAAGTTTATAGAAAATCCTTGAGCCAGAACCTCGCGTGGCAATCTTTTCCATTTTTGGTTTTGATATGAAGGATTATTTTACCCACGACCTTCTCTATAATAACAGCCTTGTTTCTTTCTTTTTTTTTTTTTTTTTTTTTTACTGCAAAAATAAACTAGGCATCGCCGAACGCTCATTTTCCGCCCAAAGGTAGAGCTAGAGGTCACAACCAGATGCCAAAGTTTCAGCCCGATCCGATACCTTATTCAAAAGTTATAAGTGATTTTCTGAAAATTTCAATCAGAAAATGGAGCCCATTTTTGCCAGTTTTTGGTTTCTGGTGCCATAGAGCCCCATGTATTCGAGAACTCCGTCGTCCGCCATTTTCGCATTGAAATTTTCAGAAAATCATAACTTTTGAATAAGGTATCGGATCGGGCTGAAACTTTGGCATCTGGTTGTGACCTCCCTCTAGCGGTACCTTTTGGGCGGAGAATGAGCGTTCGGCGATGCCTAATTTATTTTTTCAAAAAAAGAAAAAAAAAAAACTGCAATTTTGTTTTTGTGACACCCTGTACTTTGGGGCGATGGACTTGTGCGCGTTCGGCGCGGTCCCAACTTATATATGTTTTATGTTGCCCATTCTTTAACCCGAATCCATGTAGTGAAGGACACTGCTCTCAATACACCCCGTAAAAAGGAAAAAAAAATATTTGTTTACCTGTCACCTCTTTTTTTTTGTGTATGAAATGCTCTTTTACGCTACCCCGACCCAAACTGTTTTCCCTCCGTCTGTGCGTATCCCGCTAAGTGTAGCGGGGCAATTAAGATGCCGCGAGACCTATACACGAATTCAGTTTCTCAGCTAAACTTTGCGGGAAAATTGGTGTCACGTGACCTGACGTTACGGGATATAAAGACCGATTCAGTTTTCTCGCTAAATTAAGTGAAAATATTTACGCCACGTGATCTATACACCAATTCAGTTTCCCCGCTAGATCTGGCGTAAAAGTGGCGTCACGTGTCCTACGTAGCTTAGGAAAATTGACGGCACGCGACCTATATGTCTACTAAGATTCCATGCCAAATTGAGCGGAAAATTTACGCCTTATGGCCAGAACATTAATTCAGTTTCCCCGCCAAATTGAGCGGGAAATTTACGCCTTATGGCCAGAACATTAATTCAGTTTCCCCGCCAAATTTAGCGGGAAATTCACGCAACGTGACCTACACAACAATTCAGTTAGCCGCTAAATTACGCGGGAAAATTAACATCTTGTGACCTAGACATCAATCCAGTTTCCCCGCTAAATGTAGCGGGAAAAATCGGCGTCCCGCGACTTGACGTCACCTGGCCTAAACAACAACACAGTTTCTTTGCTATATTTATCGGGAAAATACACATAACGCGACACATCAATTGCCTCGCCAATTCCCTATAGGCTATAACGCATTTCATGCACTGTAGGAAATTTGAAAGTAAAGTCGCTGCCAGGCGCGTTCACACTGGCGACTAGCGACAGTCGCGCGAGCGACGTGCGACAAGCGACCACCGACGTTCACACTGTGGGTGATCGGCGAGTGGCTACCGGCGAGTCGTTCCTCCGAAGCCCCCGTCGATTGAGTGCACTCACACAGAACACGGGATCGCATTTGGCTGCTTTTCCATTTTCGTGCCTCACAGCTACACACGCATCGTCGTTCCGATATCAAAAAGACTCGTTATGTTGACCTGGGTCCTAAGGAACCGCACAAACAAGCACAACCGCTACATCGGCGTGCACTCGCTCGGGCTACAGCGTCGCAGTACGTACCTGTCAATTCAGTTACCCCGCTAAGTTTGGCGGGAAAATTGATATCACGTGACAAGACGTCATGGGACCTACAGAAAAATTCAGGTTTTCCGCTAAATTTAGCAGAAAAAAGTTACATCACGTGAGCTAATCACTTATTCAGTTCATCTGCTAAATTTAGCAGAAAAAATTTACGTCACGTGACCTATTCACTTATTGTTCATTTGCTAAATTTAGCGTGAAAATGGATGTCATGTGACCTATGAACCAATTCAGTTTCCCCGCTAAATTTGGAGGGAGAATTGATGTCACCTAATCTGACGTCACGGGACCTACAAACGAATTTTGGCTCCTCGTTAAATTTAGCGAAAAAAGTTAATCACGCGACCTGTGCATCAATTCAGTTTCCACGCTAAATTTAGCTGGCAAACACATCACGACATTGCTGTCGCTGTCTAATTGTGTCACGTCGTTTGATCTTCGCGCAATTATTTTTTCTCTTCTACGTTTGATGTTTTCTAGGTTTCTCGCCCCAGTCTCAGCTAAATAAAAGAAAAGAGATAATAACCTTTGCGAATAATGGCCTTCATACATTTGTCCCCTATCGCGGTGGCGGGGAATTAGTGGAAGCTAACACACACATCGCTTTTCCCCGTTATGATTTACAAACCGGTACGCAACAGTAAATCATCGTGTTACCTTACAAATGTTTGCTTATATCAGTCGGACACAATTGATATCAAAAAGGAACTATACGCTACTCTGGAAAATGCTTACAGCTCACGGGAACGCCGCTCCCGCTTTGAGTGAACGTGAGCTGAGAACGCCCTCGCACAAAGCAGAACCAGAACCACGAGCAGAACAGCTGAGATGCAGCGCCACCTCTCAGCAGGGATGCATACAAATACAGTCTCTAAGCGGGCATTGTGGCACTCGCGTGTGACATGGTCTTAAGTATAGGAGGGGTACTGATTTTATCTACGTATGGCCAATGAACCTTTTCGTGCGATACACTTCCAATACTCCAGGCGACTGCAACAGCTCTATTTGCCTTTTCGGCATTGATCTACAGGGTGTCACAAAATAAAATTTACACGGTATTTTTACCGCAAAAATAAGCTAAGTGTCGCCGAACTCTCATTCTCCGCCCAAAGGTAGCGCTGGAGGTCACAGCCAGATGCCAAAGTTTCAGCCCGATCCGATAACTTAATCAAAAGTTATAAGTGATTTTCTGTAAATTTCAATGGAAAAATGGTGGCCGACGGAGTTTTCAAACACGTGGGGCTCTATGGCACCAGAAACCGAAAACGGGCAAAAATGGGCTCCCTTTTCCCATTGAAACTTTCAGAAAATCACTTATAACTTTTGATTAAGTTATCGGATCGGGCTGAAACTTTGGCATCTGGTTGTGACCTCTAGCTCTACCTTTGGGCGGAGAATGAGCGTTCGGCGATGCCTAGTTTATTTCTGTGGTAAAAAAGACCGCGTAAATGTTCTGTTGTGACACCCTGTATAACCGCGAAATTTCAAAGGCAGATCGTCATGTCGCTGCTCAAATAATCGCAATATGTAAACGTTTTGGTTGTGTGCCAATCTACCTCTCTCAGAGGAAAAAACAGTTGGAGGCTTTACGTTATTGACACTTTGAAAAATGCTCATTAGAGCAGGTTTAGAAAGGACACGTGTACAGGCTTAATGTGCCTTCACAAACAATAGCACTACTTATAATATTAGGTTTTTATATTCAGTCTTTATATGCTCAAATTCAATGTTAGGATATTAACGCATAATTGAAATAATTTTGTTTTGTGAAGTAAGATGGTTTTATGGTAAGCTTTTAGCGAGACAATTTGAAATAGTTAGATGGGTATTTTGAGGAATGTCACCCTGAAGGGTCGTTTTTTTTTCTCTTAATGATTCAATAAGTTTGGTCGACTATTAAAGCTCACGTTATATACGCATAGCTGTAAATATGTAGAGATATGAATATAATTAAAATGTGCCGACGAGTGAGCATTACTGATGGAATGAGATAAATGTTACAATACCACCGATAGGCTACATGCTTGACGGGACCGGGAATTTTATGAAGGTACGTTTATAAATTTATAGATCAAGAGAATACACGCCTCAAAGAGAGACCCTCTGGCAAACAATAAAATTAAAGATAGTTCACGAAGAGCCTCAGCTGTAACGGGGCTAATCCCTTTAGTCCTGATAAAGCTAACGTTGTAGCTAAGTGCATTTGCGGCAAATGTACTGCTGTTGAGAGGCTTATTAGCAGGTTCGTTTTTGAGCCCTTGCTTCGAGATTCTGTTGACTTCCGCGCTTTGTTGTGCTCTTTAAAAATGTATACATATTAATAGACTGGGAGTTATAAATAAATAATGTCAAAACAACAAGCGTGTGACCAATTGTTTCATATAAAAATACTTAAAGTGTAAACATAAAGACGGAGAACAGATTTTTCTACATAAACGATGTGTATTTTTGTCCGTCCTTGTATTTATATTCTCAGCAACGTCCGATTGCGACCAATGTGCTCACGTTCAACTTCGTCATTTTTATTTGTTCTTCATCTTTACTCTCTGTCTTACTCTCCCGACAGGATGACTCCACTCATGATGATCGTGGTCGCTGTTTGTGCCACGCTGCTCCCTTATTTCGGCGACGGGCCACGGTGGAGGGAAACAATCTCGACGTACGACGAGACGTGCAAGGCAAACTGGTGGATCAACCTCGTTTACCTGCAGAACTTCATTCACACACCGCAGATGGTGAGTAGGGTTCGATTCGTCACCGAGCTCAGTACCCAGCTCCGACACCGTTAGGTGCAGTCTCCCTGACCGCGTAGTAGACCTACTTGAAGTGTTTTCCCGATGTTCGTTTTTTCGCGCAAGGGTGACGGCAGACAGCAGTGTATATCATCACATTGAATTGGTCTTGAAAATATATTGTTTTTACCACACCGCTATAATCCTTCAAAAACTTAGAGAAGGAAAGCCTTTCTAATGTAAAATTATTATACTGCGAGTGTTCTAATATGCGTCTTTGGTGCATCGTAATGCAAAGAGGTGCCCACCAACCAAATGGCAACACAGATAACGCCTAGAGAACGCGCACTGGCGAAACAGCCGAGCTCACGCCGTCATTGGTTGAGGGGGGGGGGGGGGGGACAAACGCACGTGGATCTAATAAGGGGAGGGGGGGGGGGGTAAAAGAACACACGAGGTGCGCGGGATGCAAGCGAACTTGCTTGCCGCATACATTATAGACTTTATCGTAAGCAGTCACATATCCCAACTTGCGTGGTAGGCATGCTAAGTAACCAGGTGACGTAATCATTCTTTTTTTGTTTTGTTTCAGTGTTTGAACCACACCTGGTTTTCTGCAGTAGATTTTCAATTCTATCTTATTTCGCCGATCATCATATACCTACTCTACAGGTAAGACTAATGAATAGTGCGAGGTTGGCTTCCCCTCACTTGAACAACGTGTGCGGCGAAGAGCCCTTGCCGAAGAAAATCTTTGGTGCGGGATGACGAAAAAGTGGCGCATGTGATTACTGCATAACCAGATTCTTTGGGGGACTCGCTGACACACACGAGCGGCGCTCTTCTCTCAACACGGGGCGACGCTTGAGGCGCAGGGGATTACGAAAGTCTAGGTGGTACGCCGCAGTGCGCATAGCCTGATTTATTTCTTTCGGCGTGCCGTTTGTCTTTTTGTCGTGTGTGGTTTTAACACCATGTTAACGCCAGCGAAAACAGCGAAATGACTACTAAACCGAAGTCCACACGAAATGCCGGCCGGGCGGCGTCCCAGTCGGAAAAATATGGCCGCGAGCTTAAAAGTAAAAGAATTGTAGTCTATAGCTTGAGCTTCAAGAGCCATGCCCTGCTGCTAGAATTAAGTTATTGCGATACCATTTTTATGTACCAAAGGGCAACACGTTGCTTGCGGTCGAGCCCTGACGTAATGCCGCGGGTAAAGTACACATTGCGAGGTACTACTCCCCCAAAACAGGAGCTTAGCTTTTGCTGATGTAGACAAAAATAGTAAAAACGAAGGGTTTTTTCAGATGTCCGATATTTCATGAAGCAGATGACGATCCTGGTGCCTGTATCTGTTTTAGCACAAATAAGGTATTTGGAAACTGCGGAGACAATTATTTCACCTTGTCAAATACATCACGGGGACGACCCATCTGAAACTGAAGAGAATTTCCTGGTCTCGTGAACTGACGCCGGATTTATCAGTTCGGCGCTATTGTGAGAGTTCCCAGAGATACAACATTTGGGATTTCATCTCCTTGAAGCTACTAAAATATTCTGTCACTATAGAAACCCTGCAGACTATACACAGCGAGCCCGCGATGGGGACTAAAATGCGGACCAACTTGTCATATATGTGGTTTGTAATGCGCGATGCCACTCTTGGAGGAGTAGAAAAGAGGGTAGGTTTCGCCGAGAGCAATATATGGCCAGCCCTTCTCTACCAAAGACTGGGTGACCTGGCATTTTGACACCACGGAATGTTGAGTCACACAAACAGGGATTAGGCAACCTTCTCCTAGCACAGATTGTGATGCCGTGCAATTTTTTTAATTTATCAATATTTACTATGAGACTTGCAAACAATATTTTTTCTTCTTTTTAGTGGTTGCTGAAAGGGAAACTTGGCATTTGGAACGTAGTGGCAACGACATTGCGGCACGAACTAATAAAAACTTGTGTCTCACAATAATACCTTCATAAATTAGGTTGTTTTCTCATTAAAAAAACAAAACAGCCTGATTTTTTTTTTTTTATAAGATAGTCGAGCACAATGTCCACAGCAAACTATATTTTTTACTTTGTTGTTATATGCAATACATAGCCCACCTGTTCGCTTGAAGGCTAATGTATTTTAAGCCAATAAAGGGCAGAAAAATCAAATGTTAGTAGTTTATCTACCGTTAAAACTACTTCACACCCCAATTGGAGCAAGCTGAATTATTAAAATACCATACCATCTATGCCACTTCTATTACCGCAACTACTGCGTAGTGTCTTAGAACAAGAGGTTTACCATCTCTCTTGTATTTTTCTTTCAGGAGACCTCGATGGGCAGTAGGACTGGCCTCTGTACTTTTCCTGGCCTCAGTGGCGACCACCGCTGTCCTTACGGCCCTCAACGATTACCCTGCCTTCCCGTACATAAGTGCCATCGTGTAAGCTCATAAATCACTAACATTTATCACTGTTCAAACAGTTGAATGCACAAAGTAAAAAAGTTTTCTCAACTGTCAGTGTAAAAAAAAAAAAAAAAAAAACATTATCTGCTGGAAAGTTGCAGGTGAAGTGGCTCCCACAGACTTAACATGACTGTTTGGTTTTTATTATTCTTATCAGAGAAAAAGCTGACAACCACTTGGTATTTGGATTCTGACAATGTTAAATGTTTGAAGATTTTGTTTTAAAGGAACGACTTTTATTGTTTTTTGTGGGAAGGGAAAATAAACTAGGGGATTTACCAACCTTCAAGTGCATTACTTGCATAGAACCGGCATGGTTCCGGCATGGTTCCGGCATGTGCTCGTTTCTCTGCTGCTCATGCGTGCTAGTTCCGGAGGCGTACAGTGGGTGACCAACAATTAGCTACTACCGCCTCCCCCCCTATATGCAAATCTTTGTCCGGTGAGACGAAGAGTGCACCTTATTCAACTTCCAGAGCGTTATCGAAAATATATATTACGCAGCTGTGAGCAATTAAAAGAAAGGAACAAGCCTCCACACTTAGGTTAACAATGAGTGATTTCTTATTTAGACAGAAAATAAATGCCACAGTCAGTATGGTTGTACTTTTTAGAGACTCGCTCTGCATCTCCGGTTGTTTGAGCCAAGAACCCGATTCCTCTTAGAGAAAAAAGATGAAAGAGGCTGAAAACAAAATTAAAATGAATTTCCTTGCCGTACTTGAGGAATGGTACAAAATGTTACTACTCACAAAAATGACACTAAAAGAAACCTTGAAAAAATAACCATCAGACTAATTCTGGGGAAGATAAAAAAAAAATGTGCCAGAGGGAGAAAAATGGGAAATTCACAGGAACAAAAAGGAAAGGGTAAATGTAGCAGGCCTTTCATTGGCACACTTCAAATTACGCTACAGTCAACACGAGGGGGACAAACCCAGGAAAACAAACTTTCGGCCCGTACGGCCAAACGTAGTGACGGTGCCTAGAGACGCCGATATGGCTACACTGCTATCATCAACGGCTGCCCAGCGTTTCATTGATGAATAGTGACCTACTAGATGAAGACGGCATTGCGCCTTGTCTATCCTCCGTCTCACTAAAACCGTGCAGTACGACGAAAGCTGCGGGGGAGAGAGCGCATGCCAACCTGTTCAAGAGGGCGGAAAAGAGGAACGGTTGAGAAGGGCTGGGATTCCCCGTTCCTCATTTCCCTCTTCCTGAACAGGTCGGGACGCACTACACGGAGTATAATTGGTCTGCCTCCAGCATGCGCATTCCCTAGTGAAAACTCTTCTATGTATAAGAAATGTCTTCGTGCAATAAGCGGAAATGATTAAATAAGATGACATAGGATCACACAAGAACCTTATAAGAACAATATAAAATTGCACAAGACGTTTTTCAGCTCTTCTCATATAATATCATATAGTTCTTATATTTTCTTATGGAGTTATTTTATGTTCTTATATGATATTATTTGATCACATGCGTTTATTTGACCGAGAAATGTCATACATATAAGATTTTTCACCGGGGTGTTTACGTTAGCCATGCTTTACAGCTCGTACACGTCCAAGGCTAACGAGAAGCCGAAGCTTTATCGGAGATACCAAGCCAGCGTCGGAGGCGAGCCAAATGAAAGTTTTTTAGCCGATCTCCTCCTGTTTGTGAATATAGAGCAGGCGAAGGGCATTTGCGAGAACGTGAACACTGCTCGGCGCTGACGCTAAAAATGCTTCGGAAGAACGCTTCGTATAGTTACGGCACGCTAGCGTTGGGAAAGATAGGACCGTGTGTTATATTAAGTATTAAATTCAATAAACGAGTTCAGCAGGTTAGACTGAGACTGAGCGACGCAATTTTTTTTTCTAGGCCTATCGAAAAAATGAACGACTACATGAGGGACGTCTACATCAAGCCATATTGTCGCATCGGGCCATTCCTGGTTGGAATGTTAGTTGGCTATTTCATTCACGTCACCCAGGGAGCCGTCATCATCAAAAGGGTAAGCCTACGATTCCAGCAAATACCAAAACCACCAAGCCATGCTCACGCCTTATTTATATCACGCTCACTTTTTTGTAGTGAAAATTTAAAACAAAGAAAAGTAATGTTTTGTTGGATATAGGAAATGCGTTCTATTTTCTTAACTCTGGGTGGCAGCCTCCGTTCCACCCCCTCCTACTCCAAATAAAGCGGACTAATTTTCAAATATGTTTAGTACAGTACACGTTGGTTAGGACTTGATAAAAAAAAGCCAGCTGAAATCGTTTAACTTGTATAAAAAGGATGTGATGACGAATCAAATATACTCTTTGTTTTGGCTTATTTTTTTTTTTTTAATAATTTAAAAAGAGGTGCAGTCCTGTCTTGATTTACGGTGCAGTCATGACGATCTACGCAGACCGGAGGGCCCATCTTACTGTGCCGAATGTGCGCAAACAGTTCCCTAAAACTCCTTAATGTTGTCGCAAGCGCATCTTTCAGCGTTGCACAACAGCGACGATAGCAAGGCGACTACGCTTAGACACCCGCGTCTGCTGCTTTGCGCCGTGCTCTCGCCAAGTTTCAGCGCGTTTGCATCTTGGGCGTTCTCTGGAATCCCCTAAAGATGACGTAATGCACATGCCTTACTACGACGTGGTAGTGGATGGATGAATATGGCTGAACACTTTCAATCGGGCGGCAGTCTGCGCCACCTTGCCAGGGCTTTTAATTTCAACAATTAACACCGATGAAATTTGTAATTAAATAAAAAATGGGGAAGTATTTTCCATCGCGACTTCACAGGAACTGCGGTTATATAGGGGCACAACACGGGCTCACAAGCGCATGTTCTATTTTTCCACAAATTCCGTATATGGATAGGATTGTCAAACCTGGGGCGGAAGCTAGCCTCTGTGGTAACACGCCCGCTACACACGCAGTGAACCTAGGATCGAATTCCGAGAGCGGAGGGCGATTTTTGTCGAGGAGCTGGCAATATAGCGAAAAATACACTACGCCTTGTTATGCCAGCTACACAAAACAACTATCGAAGTAAAAAAAACACAAAAAACTCCATTAGGTTTTTTTTTTTTTTTTTTAATATGCACCCAGTTTAGTCAAACCTGATGAATTGCGTGCGCTCGCGCATCTTGGGCATGCACAGTTGATATCTGTGCGTGCTGTCGTCTGAAATGACATACTAAGAGTCATTTAACATATTAAGATGGCGCTTAGTGTAGCCTTACTAGAGCGATAGCTGAGAAGAACAAACGAAGGTGCATCTCGAGACGCCGATCAGTCGTGTTCGGTAATGCCCTAAAAGATCTGGGGCCCTAATCTGGACACTGTGCGAACTAGTCGGCGAGGTATCCGGCGGCTCTGATAGGCCGGCGCCAAGGTCAAGTGCGGCATTGACCAATCACGGCCGCCAAATTTCTCGCCGACTTTCTCGCCAAGTGTCCAGATTAGGGCTCCTGTACGGTGAGCAAGTATCCCATTATGAGTCCTTGGCGTGCAGCGGAACGCAAGGGGGGGCACGCCAATCGAAGGGTAATACAGAGAACCCGCCGTTAACGCGCCATGACGACGCAGTCAAGACCTCGCCTTTGTTCTTGAGACCCTGGAGAACCAAAGGCTCGCGTGCGCATTCCGAGGCTAAACAAACGCACCGGGGGCGCAAGGAGTAGACGAACTTGCTGGCCGCACACTCTGCTTCACGATACGGAAATCAAGTGTTCCGAAAGGCGCCTCCCGCGCATCGGAAAGCACGGATGTGCACGCCGATCAACAGGTAATAAGAAGAACGCGCAGATAACGCGCGACGACGTGGCAGTCCCTCGTGCGTAGTCATTGGCTTAGATCGGCGTGGAAACAAAGACACGTAATCGCATCTAAAGTCCCTAAGAAGAGATTCCTACAAGTAGCGACATTCTTTGAAACGCCGACTGCGCGACGGCGTGGCAGGTTTTTTTTAGGAAGCGAATGGTGGCGAGCAGCTGAAATTTGAACTGAATGACTCCATTTTATTACAGTCGAATGTGCTTTGTAGTTTGTTCTTGTTGTCGTAAATTGTAAAATAATTATCGAGGGACTTTAGGCGCATCTGGAGGCCAAACCAAAAAAAAAAAAAATTTCCAGCGACCTTTGCGTTTGCATATAGCAAGAAATACGGATTTGAGAAATGATCATTTTAAGTTGTTTCGAAGGCTATATAGACCCCAGTGCCCGAAATTTTAGCCCCCTGAGATAGAAAGTGTGAAAATTAATCTCCAACGCAGGCTCTTGTGACGGGAGAAGTTGCGCATAAAACAATATTTTTGCTTTTTGCGGCACTCTTGTCATTGGTGCGGTTCTTGGAGCTTCGTGGCTACGCATTTCTGATGTTCTTGCTCGGCAACATGTGCACTGGTTTCTAAAAAAAAAACAAAAAAAGAAGAGTCTGTAAAAAAGCCCAGCCCCTCTATTTTGTCATGGCGTCAGCATAAACAAACACAGTGGCGCCCGTAGAGCAGATGAGACACTGGTTAAAACAGTCTTGTCTAGTATAGGTGGCGTGGCATCAATTTATTTATTTATTTATTTATTCGGTTACGCACAGCGCCCTTGCTAGGGCATTATTGTAAGGGGGAAGACAGTAGAAAATTTACACAAATGCAAAGTACATGTCGAGAAACAGAGGGCTGTGTGATGCGGGATGATTCACAATGATCACAACACCAAAATATGTATAAACACCACAGCAAGTTTACAACAGAAACACCAAGAAAAGTCGATAAACAAAAGGTTAACAGCAAACAAAGATAACTAATTTAACAGAAAATTTGTATGGTTGTAAAAATCAGAAATGTGGTGCAGAGACGATTTCAGCTGGTAAGTTGCTCTAATCGTGCACTGCACAGGGGAAAAAAAACTATACTTAAATATGTTTATTCTGCACCTGTATTCGCGAACTTTCATAGGGTGAACTCTACGGGGAGACGCATAGGTTGGTTCTTTTATGTACTGTGCTTTACCAATGCCATTATTGTGAATAAATATGTTATAAAATAAGGCCAGTCTAAGATACATTCAGCGGTCTGCAAGCGAACGCCACCATAATTCATTACCTATAACAGACGAGCTTTTCGAGAAATCATAATCGCCTGACACAAACCGCGCTGCACGTCGCTGTTTACGTTCGAGCTCATCTATACTTGTCTTGATGTAAATATCGCACGTGGTGCAAGCATAGTCTAAATTCGGACGCACGTTTGCCATATATAAAGTTTCTTTGAGTTTTGTGGGTGCCTTCCTAAAGTTACGTTTGAGAAAGTTTCACGTGCGGCTAGCCTTAGAGGACAGATAATTAGCATGAGTGTTCCAGTATAGTTCGCTGGAAAAGAGAACTCCGAAGTGCTTATATTTTGGAGCAACCGATAAGATCGTGACCAACGAAATATTCTGTCAGCAGAGATCGTCATTTGTTAGTAAACCTGACTAGATTGCATTTGTTAAAGTTTAGAATCATCTTCCATGTTTGGCACCACAATCAAATAGAGATAAGGTCATTGTTCAAAAGCTCAGAGTCGTCCTCACATGGGATGTCGCTGTAGACACAGCAATCATCGGCATATAGTCTGACGCGACTAGAAATATACACAGCTAAATCATTTATGTATATCGAAAAAAAGAAGGGGACCGAGGACAGATCCTTGAGGGACACCCGATAAGGCGCTTACATTTGACGAACTCAAACCGTATATAAAGTTTACAATATACATAAAGAAAAGGCGAGGTGACGTCGGGTCACGTGACGTCAAATTTTCCGCCAAATTTAGTGGGGAAATTACATTGGTGGATAGTTCACGTGACGGGGAGACTCAATTGGTGTGTCTGTCACGTGACGTCAATTTCCCCGCTGAATTTAGCTGGAAATGCACGGATGGGCAACATTTTTAGATGTGGAGGGACGTTAAAATAGCATTTTATGCTGTCACACGCACGAGCTGCGCAGAGATTAAACAAACTTGCCCATCGTAGAAGTGCGACCGCATGCGTACGCCACGATCCGATGGAGCCAATCAAGCAGTGGCAAAAGAGCATCGCCACGGCACTTATCGTATTTGTGCGTTTGTTATTAGAGAGTTTTAGGGAACCGTTTTGTCACACACGATACGGTACGATGAGCCCTCCGGCACGTACTCCGCATGCGCAACTGCCGAAGAAACTCACATGCACAGTTCGTACCGGACGGCTTATCGTACCTTATCGGATGTGCGAAAATGGGTCCCTAATCTCTCTATTAAAGAGTTTTAGGGAAGGGTTCTCAACATCCGATACAGTGCGATGGGCCCTCCGGTACGAACTGCGCATGCGTAAACGCTGAACACTCGCGCATGCGCAGTTCGTACCGGAGGGCCCATCGTACCATATCGGACCTACAAGAACGGTTTACTAAAACTCTCTAAAAGGGAGTTTTAGGGAGCTGTTTTTGCCCATCCGACACGGTACAATGGGCCCTCCGGTACGAACTGCGCACGCGGTACCGCAGAAGACTCACGCATGGGCAGTGAGTACCGGAGGGCGCATATCGTACCGTGTCGGATGTGAAAAAAAAAAAAACGGTTCCCTAAACCTCTGTTACCTACTCAGCCGTTCACACACTGTAAATGCACCGCGATCCTCCGCTTTTTGTTTTGTGTGCGTGATTGGTTTAACCGGTGGTTGCAAGCCCGGAAAGACAACGAGCACCTGCAGGATGCGCTTTTGGCGCCGCCTGCTTCTTCGGATCGTCGGCTGCGGCAGGACTTGAAATGTAACGGAACAAGGCCTTAGCACGGCATTTTTGACTTCTGCGATTAGAGGAGCGGGGCATAAATTGGGCCTGAGTGCCGGGTCATTCAACGTGGGCTCGTTTTCCATCAGTGAGAGCACGTATCCAAGCTTAGCGCTGACGCAGTAATCGCGTTCAATCTGTCACCCGCGCTGTCGGATCCAATATGTGAAGTAGAAATTTCAGCACTGCGGGGATCTATGTTGTGCTACGTTTCGGCTTAAGTTCAGATACATCCGAGGCTACGAGCTGATGGGACCATGCAGAGAGTGTCAAAAAGCGTACCATCTGAGTGTTTGCCACGCGTCTTGTACGTGCCGAACGAACGACGGGGAATCTTAAAGCCTCCGCGGAGGACTGGGGATTAATCTGGACCACCTGGAGAACTTTTGACGTGCAACCGAAAGCTCGATTACACGGCGCCTTCTCCACTATCAGCTTCCGTCTTATTGCGTGCAGGGATACGAACCCGCCACCTGGGGATCCGTAGACTGGCGGTTTGCCTCGGAGCAGCCGAGGCGGTGTTTTATCATCGCTGAACCAATCATACACAGAAAAGGCCTACCGAGTAGCACTTTTGACGATGTTTGCTTGGTCCCAGTAGCTCGAAGTGTCGGCTGTTTCTGGACTTGAGCGGAAACAAAGTATAACAGATGTTGTCTCGGCCCCCGTTCTCTAAGCGGATTGCAAATTAGCAAATTGACACGAATTTCATTGTGTGCCGCTTGGGAAATCTGAAGCCGGCGGAGTGGTCGCCGCGTGACTCCACTGAATTGTGAAGAGTGGCGTAGCGCGTGGAACGATCGCGGAAAGCTGAGTGCTCGATGACTGAACACCAATTCGCATGACCGGTTACTCCTAAATTTTATTTTCGTCTTTCATGGCGCGTTTACACTTGCGGATTCGCGGGCGGATACGCGCTAGCGGAAAATGTGAGCTCAATGGCGATATAAACTTGTCGCTGACGCAAAAGCCGGATCAGTCGGGGACCCATATTCCGGATTTTCCAGAAGCGACAAGACGATTTGGCCCTCCCTATTTTATCCACCTTCTGCCTGCACAGATCCGCCCTCAAATCCGCACGTGTAAACGCGCCATTACGCACCCTTCCTGCAGCAGGCAAGTGATCGTGCCACGTTAGGCAACAGCACTGAGAAAGTTATAATATCAGACAAACGCGGTGTTGTTACAAGTCTTGTTTCGAGTTTTTCAAAAGTTGGTGAACGGATGAGAAGTGACTTGGACGTTTCCTATGATGAACCGGAGCTGCGATGGAGATGCGTATCTCCTCAAGACGTGTAAAATGTTCATCCTACGTACTTAGGGGTATCCTTCGCTGTTAGTCCACGGTAAGGGTACTTGATCGCATTATACTTATATGTGTATGCTTGCCTTGCCCTGGGCTTTTCTTTTTTTTCCCCTCTAAACCTACTTTGCTTACAAGCAGCGGAACCGCCAACAAGCGGAGCAGCTTCGTTCGCTGCATTGAGTGCCACCGGGCAACGTTCGCTCTATGCTCGCTAGCCCCGTGAATGTTCAAAGACTGGAATTTACGGGTCTTCAAAGTTCACTAGGAGAATCGGCTTTTTATTTTGATTTCTAGTGCAAGAGACGTAGCTAGATGTGTTTTGGGCCATTGGGAGGGTCAAAGTGCCAGCAGTGCCGCATCTTTCTCTAGTGTTGATTGTGCAAACAACTACTGAGCATGACTGGGTTTTTCTCTCGTTTTTCTTTGACAAGAAAGGCTTTGGATCACCGGCGTTGCGTGCTATAGTATACTTGGGTCACTGCCAGTATGCTCGTGTAAAGTAGGAAACATTCCAACCCATTATTGTAGCACCTCCCGTTGCTGTAATTTTGTCTGTCGTCATATCTCATCCAAAAATGCCCACGCGTGCACATTCCGCGGTGTACGTGGAGAGATAATTGCGCTCTTACTTAGAAAAGTGGTATTTCCTAAGAGTGAACTCGTTTCTTGTGGTCCGTTTCCGGCACAAGAAATAATTTTAAGTGAAATTGCTTTTGTCTGGGTTTATCATCTGTCAGGATTATTCCGTACATCGGAGTAATGGACTTTTTTGTATGCTTTGCGGTGAATTGGACTCCCATGCCTTTTTTGTGTGTTCCTAGTTTCTAAAGCTGAAATTTTCCTTCAAGTTAATCAATTACTAAAAAATAGAGTGGCTTTTCTAAAAGGTCCCTGCAGTGGACAGGCTGCATCCCTGCTGAAGGTGGTCATTTTCTCTTGAAGGCGTACGTGTGGCTGGGCTGGTCGCTGTGCGGGTTCGTGATGCTCGGCGTGCTTTACGCCATGTGGCCCGCCAATACGGGCCAGGCACTGCCATCCTTGGGCTGGGCAGTCGTGTATGGAGCTCTCAGTCGCACCCTGTGGGCCGCCGGCCTCTCTTGGATCGTGATCGCGTCCGTCGCCGGATACGGAGGTCAGTTTGCTAACGCGAGCGCTGTGGTCGATTGCTCTGTGTAAAGAGCCTGGATTTCATAAAAAGAGCAAGAGAAAGAGAGGGAGAGTGACAGAAAAAGAGAAAGAGGGAGAGGGAAAGAGATAGAGGGGGAGAAAGAGGGAGAAAGGGATGAAAGAGGAGAGAGGGAGCAACTCAAGCCATGGCAAACAAGCTCTTGCAATTTAATGGCGCACGCCCTTTCGCAGACTCGGTGCTTGTGTAAAAATATGATTTTTGTTACTGCTGGCTACAACCTCGAAAGAGTTAGCTAATGCACGCAATTCCAAGGAAAAACACAGATTATGATTCTAAGCATCTCAGACATTGGTGAGGGTGACAAAAGCCATAACTCGGTTCTAACACGCGCCCAAGATTTTTCCAAGTTAAAGTGTTTGAAACCTGCAATATTGTTTTCTTTTTCTTTTTCTGTTCATATTTATATATTTGTGCACCAAAGAAGAGACCTGCATGGTTATTTTGAGCACGTATAATAAAATAAAACTAAATTAAATAAATAAATATATAAATGAAGGTTAATTGCATGGTTTTTTTTACATAATTCAGTGTCCAAAGATTTATTTATCTGGCATTAGCATTGGATCCCCTCCGCTCCTGTCCATTCACCATCCAAAGCATTAGCCGTTTCCTAGTAAAGCCTTCAATGTATATTTATGACTCCCGCGCATATGTGCATATTCAATGTCAAAATATAGGCGTAAGGCAGTAACTTTAGCAGGTAAAAGTGAAAGCAACTATCTCTAGGCACATTAAAATTATCTTGTTATCCCTAATGTTATCGTGATTGTCACTTGATCATCTGTGTTGCTCTTTATTGTCACTTGACACCCCGTACAGCGCTGCCTTTTGAGTCTTAATCCGTATGACATCTCAAACGGCCAAAGATTATTTGTGCAGGAAATGTTCCTAATTATACTTTTATAACAACTCTCAGTAACTAAGGATGTTTAATGTTTTTTTCTTCGTTTCTTGCCGTTGTACAGCGATGCCAATCTTTATTGCTGATACACCAATGGGTTTTCGGGGAAAAACAGAATATAAATAATAATATTATAATGATTTTGATGTCAATAACAGTTGGTTTCTGTTAACTTTCGGTTCGCCTCAACTTTCTGCAGGAGTGGTAACCAAGCTGCTCTCGTTCGGTGCCTTGATGCCCCTGAGCAGACTGACGTATTCCGCCTACATCATCCATCCCGTCGTTATGGCGATCTTCTACGGTTCACGCGAAGAAGCGTTCGACTTCTCACCGTTCCTACTCGTGAGTCAGTCTCTACCGAAAATCCTACGACACCGCCTTATGGGACGATCCAAAGGGATCTTAGGGCGGTGAAGCGAACGTCTTGGGCAACGAACGCGCTTCTGTTCAACCCACCCACTTTTTGCGCTGGCGGAGGCGCACACGCTACAAACCTAACCTATCTGCATGCAGGGTTATTGCTTTTCTAAAACGACAAAATACTTTATTTCCATTTAACATACTTCTGGGTTGGTGAAGCCCTCAGGCGTAGTTGACTCGTTCACCAAAGCGGCTTGATTGTGTCGCTCGGCTGATTTCCTTCCAAACTGGGCTATTATTCTTTTTCAATATTAAACAGATCTATAAACAACCTTATTTTTATACGCGAGCTGATACCTTTTAGGCACGAGAATCCGCCGAATTCAGTCTTTATAAAGAGTGAAACTTCTCACTTGCCCATCTTCATTGTGAGTGCCATCGCCTTGAAGTTCCGCGATGCGTATATGAGTTGATTCATAGTTTTTGCTTTGAGTACCACACTCGATTATGTGTTTCTTGCCGGTGAAGACTATTTTTGTTCTGTTTCTTGCAGACTTACTTCACCCTAGGCAACGTGACTCTCAGTTACGGCATTTCCTTCGTGCTGTCCTTGCTCTTCGAGGCTCCCGTACTGGCGCTCGAGAAGGCCCTTCTGGGCCGCAAGTGAGGGATGACTTCACTCGACGCGGAGGCTACGAAGCAAAGATTTAGTTTCTTGGAGAGTTCCGTTTTTCACCGCAGCTGAACTCACTGGGGCCGCCTCACTCGACGTTACATCTCATTTGTGATGGTCTTACCAAATCACAATTAGGTTTAGTGCTTGGGGGCTTTTATTTGTATGCTGGTCTTGGTAAAGACTTAGTTTCTAAGGTAAAAAATGAGATTCTCCCCCCCCCCCCCCCCCCCCTTTGTTCGAAGCGAAACGACTACTGTGTTTTGTTGTATTTTTAAATTGGGTGTTAAACAGTGCGTGCCAAGATAAGGTTTACATATTAAAAAAGTTAGTAAAAGGAATCTATAGATTCACGAGAACTCCGTTTTCGCAGTTAGGTTATGTTTCCGGGCTGACAATAAGTTCAAGGCGTATCGTTGCTGTCCTTTTCTAATTATTTATTCAACTTTCAATATTTGTATCAAATATAACAAAGGTATTCGTTTATATTGGTAATTTCAGGGTGGCCGAACTTCAAAACTGTTTCACTTCATGTAATTCTCGTAACAAACCGATATTGCAAGATATGCGACTCTAAATTTGCGACTCATTCAGGTTTATTACGCATTGAAAATCGCTAAAATATGCTCGAAAGCTCTCTTCATTGAGGCGCAGGCCGTTGCGAATGAAACACCTATGACAACGGGGTGCAGATGACAAGAATTTTTCTCCGGTTAAGAACGAAAAAGAAAGGGTTGAAGGAGATGACTCTCCTCCAACAGCGATGACTTCTCTTTGTTTGGAGTCTTTGAAATTCCGGGAACAAACTTTCGTGCTGTTGTCATTGATTTGTGTTTTGAGATAACAGAGAACAAGCGTACCTACTCTAATGGCATTGCAAGGGTATTGCAAGGATATTCACGGACATTCCAAGGGCATTCCTACGGCATTACAGGATTAACTCAAGGCACATATTGTGGTGCTTTTGACGGCATTCAAGAACATTCCAATGGCGCACTGTCACAGACACTGGCAATATGAGAGCCGCGGTTATTTTAGTGTGGACAGCGATGTGATATAATGTGACTGTGGTGCAAAAAAGTATGTAAAGCGTCTGCAAATGTGATGTTCCTTCGCCTTTGGTGGTACACCGGAGACAAATGTCACAAAGTGGTTTGTTGGCAATGTTCCAACGAAATGCTGGGCTCTCTTTCCTGCATGCTTCATACACAGAGTATTTGATTTTAATTCAAAAATATTCAGTAAAAAACTTAATGAAGAGTGCATCAATGCGTTTTGCGCAGGTGAGTTATACCACCACGCGGACATTATGAAGGAGGTTATTTTTCACACGTCAAATAATTCCCTAAAATTTCTCAAAAGCCTTTTTAATAAATGAAAATAGACATATCATGTCAACTAGAAACTTTCTGAGCGTCAACGAAAACCACTAAATCAGTCTATTTTAGAATGACTTGAACCACGCGGGAAACGCGATGGTGCACCAAATGTACCACTCGCGCATCAGGCGCAAAGCTGGAGGTGGGGAAACTCGGCTCATAATCAAACACACCGCATCTACCCACCCCCACCTATACGCCTGCTATATGAATGGCTAATTTTGGTGCCCACTCGCTTCCCATGTGCTTCAAGTGATTTTACTCAGAGGGGTATCGGTGGCCGAGTGGGCTAGCGCACACCAGCTCGGAGCACATGGAGCGAAAGCTCGCGCTGCAGAACCCAGGGATCCTGGGTTCAACCTGGATGAGCATCGTACCGGAGTGCGGTCGTGTATCACCATTGTGTGGTGCACGTTAGAGACCCCAGTCTAGCGGTTGTACTGCACTGGCTAAATTGCTCATCTACAACGAGTGACTCGTCACAACTCTGAAATGGCTGACCAACTACACGCTGTACAAATATCTACACAACCCCAATTATTTATCTACTACAGACTGATTTAGTGGTTTACGATGACGCTCAGCAAGTTTCTAATTGGACTACAAACTACGTAACTTGTATTTTACCTTGTAACCACCCTACAAATGTTTTGAATGGAAACTGGAAGTATTTCAAAATAAATAAATAAAATAAAACCCTATGTTTATTTTTGCTACCTAAAAAGTTCATTTAAAACTTTTAGTTGATTCTTCTACTTCCCGTAAAAATTATCCGCCTAGGTAATGTCCCGCTGGTCAGATAACTCACCTGCACAAACTGCATTAATGCACCCTTTATAATGTTGTTTGTAATAATGTGCTCGAATTAAAATTAAACACTCCGTATACATAAGTGTGTATTATGAGTCCTATTCTGATTGTATAATATTTAATATTTTGATCGCCTGTAGCTTTGTGGTACGGAAATGTAGGCAGTCATTGAAATGTTTTAATGTGACGTGCTGGAAACCTTCGTACTCTATTCAGTGTAGACAATGTGCTATTTGTAGCCCGATTTTGAATCCGCCAAGGTTGTTTGCTGAAGTATTTTCTAAAATACGAGCCAGACTTACACTGGTCTTCCTGCAGGTAAGCTGCACGCCAGCTTTAGTATTTACTGCGCGAAACTAAATTGAGTGTTCATCATTAAACTGATCATGCTTAGGGTTTATTAGATTTGTTAAGGAATGTGCTCACTAGTATTTACATCCATATTTCATCTTTAAAACTATGTGATGTGTAAGCACATTTTAGGAACAAGTGTTTGGTTAGATGATGTCAACTGTAGTTTAATCTTGGTTATGTGAGCTATAGACTCCATTACAAGTTACCAATGGTAGTAAAGTATAATTTCAATACCGGATGCCACAAGCCACCATTTTTGCTTACATATAAAACCAAGATTGTGTTAAGTTCTTGTGTGCTTATACCTTATAGCGATGCTTCATAGCTAAACTCGCTATTTTAAAAGAATGATAAACAAGTTTGGTTAGCTGTGATGTATTTTGGTCGTTACTTTTATGTTCTTTACATAGCTTGTCTCACAAGCTTCTCTAGGTGACTTTTGTCTAGGTGACTTTTATTTTCATGTTTCCGTCCATAAGTAAAATATGCGCCGAGAGTGCTATCTTCTGTAGATAGTGTAAATTCGTTTGATATGCCTCGGGCTAAGGATGGTGTACATCCCGAATGGGCTTTAAAGACCTAAACTTCAAAGGCACAAATGAAAAAAAAATTAAAGAAATTGCTTGTAAACCATTGTGAAGGTTAAGTGCATTTACCTATATCGAAGTTCCCTCAGTGTGGTAAATAACGGTTTTATTGCAGTAATTAATCTTCAAAAATTTTATAGGTGTGTAAAGTGCGTGTTAAACATTATTAACTTAATCAATCAATCGTTTTGTTTAAGGCCTTGAGGCCAAAGGTGCACCTAGACCTAGACAAAAAGTGGAGAGAAGCAGCTTGACGTTGCCAGGGGCTAATTCATACTTTGCGAAATGCGGTATTAACTCGCTATGAAGGTCTATGTGAAATTCCTAAGTCATTTCTGGATATCGTTGCTAAGATTCGAAAGTCAACACAAAACAAGTGCGGCTACTGAACGAACAGTCATATAACTTACTCCAGTACCTAACATTCCAGACGCACACACCTATAAATAAATAAATTAATAAATAAATATATATATATATATATATATATATATATATATATATATATATATATAATATAATATAATATATATATATAAACGAAGAGGGGAGAGAGTGATTGGTTATACATTAAAGTTAGACGCAGGGAAAGGCAAAAAGAGCTGGCAAAAATTTGGAGCCCGGAGCGGGTTTCGAAGCCGCAACCTTCGCCTATCCGGGTGGACGTCTTAACCGATTAGACAATCTCGGCCACTGTTTTCACGAACTCAATTTTTGACCAGCTCTCCGCTTTACTGTTAGTTTCGAATTCGCTTAACTTGTGTCCATAATTGTGATCATAATAATAATGTTGTCAAAATGTCTGCCGTAGATGATGTGCAGAAAACGCTTTTCTAAGTGTTTAATGCTTTCACGTCCTGAAACAGAAATGAAGTCCCATGCAGCAGATGCGAATTCTAGTCTCGAGTGCTTATGAGTAGTGTCTCACATGGGGTACAGACTCAAACAACAACAATGAAGACTAAGTGTTATAGTTCGCGGATATCATTTCTAGCGTAGGTGAAGACAGGCTTACAGAGTAGATATTAATAATTCTTATATCGGAGCGAATATAATTTAAACGTTCACAAAAATCTCTAGACTCCCCACCAGTGTGGTCGGAATGCAATCATGGTTTTATTTCTTAGAGCATAGAGAACGAATAAAGTTCGAAACGTTTTTGACAGTAACAGGTCTTCAGTTTTATGGTGGTTAAAAAAGAAGGCTGTTTGAACTGCACCATTGTACTGGACGAACATCGCCCCGCAGAAAAGTACAAACGTCTGCAAACATAAGTACCTGAGAGTATTTAATGTAGTACATTAAGTCGTTCATGAAAGCGAGAAAGTAAAGAGGAATATTGTTCAAGTCCTGTGGCACGTGTGCATAAAAAAACTTCTCAAGTCAAAATATCATACAAAATATTCCAAAAGATGCCGTAATTCATGTAATGCTTTCTCGGTGTACGAATCGTAAAGCCTTCTAATTTTAGTGTTTTTTTTTCTCGTGTCGCGTCTTTTTGTGCCTTTATTTGTAATCGGAGCAATACCTCATCTGGTGATATATCTTGTCATTTATGCTTATTTTCCAATAGACATGATGTTCTGGTCTGTTTTATTTGCTGTCGTTGTTGAGTTTGTTGTTTTGTTGTTTCTATTGTTGTTGGTGTTCTTAAATTCAAAATACAACACGGCATATATGTCTTTCTATTTAGGTAAATAAAATATTGAAATGCGCCGTTTTCTAAGTCTTTTACTTCCATACTAAATCTGCAGATCAATCTCGCAATAAAAACGAATTCTGAACAGAAAAAAAAACACGTAGTCGAGCATATTCTACAGATTAAGAAACGTAGATGGCATTTTGATACCTTTGTTTTTGTTCTTTTTATTGTTTATTCGATTTTCTTCGCAGTACTATCTACGCGTTTAAAGCAACGAA